CCTGCTGTTCTATCGTTGTTAGGCTAGTAGAAGCTTACACATCTCTTCTTCAACTCACAAAAAAAGTAGTGGTAGCCATCAGATCTTTTGCTTTGTATCCACCAACCTGCCAACCCACCTACCTCTTCTCTTTGCCCTTTATTCCTCGGACTTTCAGGACTAGAAATAATGAAAACAATTGACTGTATTTACTATAGTCATATATCTCAAATTCAGCTGCCAGTTAAACACTAAATTCATTACTTACTGTTCAATTATTTTTTTTTTCTTCTTGTTGGGGAATGAAGCAAAACTGCAAATATATTTTCTCATCTAGGTCTCTGGACAAAATGGGGAATGGATCAGTAAAACACAAGCACCTGAGATGGCCAGACAGAGACATAGAAAACCTCTCTGTGGGCCGCGCTGGCAGCTGTAAGTTTTTGAAGGACCCAGGTCTAAGCATCAATGTGACTGGGCAAGCTGATGTTCTTTGCAGCAGGGTGCTTGAACTGGAAAAGGAGCTGAAGAGAAAAGATCAAGAGTTGCAAGAGGGTCAAAATCACCTTGCGGAGCTTCAGGAACAGCTGGTTGTGCAGACTAAGGTCATCGCAGAACTCACCAAGGAACTTCAGAGCAAGTGCATACAGTTGAACAAGCTGCAGGATGTTGTTAGCACTCAGGGAGAGCACTCTCTGCTGCCTTCTCCATTTGAAGTGGCTTCAAGGATGCAAGTCTCTGCCGACAGGAGGAGAGGAGCCAAGGAAGGTGTGTCTGCAGAGCCGACAACACGGCTGTACGATTTGAACAGGCAAGCTGCGTTTTCCTTTGAAAAAGCGAGAGTCCGAAAGGATTCCAGGTGAGCTCATTGCAGGGGGATTCTATGGTTGTGCTACAAGGCTTTGCTTCTATCACAATGGTATCCTCTCCTCTTAAGACTAAAGTATCCATCTTTTTATATACACTTTGTCAATGTGGCGGTTAGATGCTGGTTGAGTTTGTGTGTAACTTGAACCAAGGATCTTCTGTGTCCCAAAGACTTCAGATGAAGAGTGGTGGGCAGCCTCTGTGCTTTAGTTTAGGAGACACAGTCTCTTTGGGATTTATCTTTACTGCCGGCTAAGCAGAACATAAGCCTCTTTCAGGTCTCGTTTTGCCTGGTGCGTGCAGCGTGAGCTGTGCTCTGGAGCGCTGATGGGCAGGATGCCTTTGCGTGGGTTCAGATTCTTGTTCCTATAGCATGGATGGCTTGGAAAGGAGCAGGTGGCCCCAGATCAGCGCTCTGAGATGCAATATGGACACTGATTCTGAGCTGTGTGTGGAGTCTGTTATCATAGAATCATAGAATGGCCTGGGTTGAAAAGAACCTTAAAGATCATCTAGTTCCAACCCCCCTGCTGTGGGCAGGGTTGCCAACCACTCGAGCAGGCTGCCCAGGGCCCCATCCAGCCTGGCCTTGAACCCCTCCAGGGATGGGGCATCCACAGCTTCTCTGGGCAACCTGGCCCACTGCCTCACCCCCCTCTGCACGAAAAATTTCCGCCTAATATCCAACCTAAATCTCCCCTCTCTTAGTTTAAAACCATTCCCCCTCATCCTGTCACTATCACCCCCTGTACACAGTCGCTCCCCCTCCTGTTTATAGGCTCCCTTTGAGCGCTGGAAGGCCACAATGAGGTCTCCCCGGAGCCTTCTCTTCTCCAAGCCAAACAAGCCCAGTTCCCTCAACCTTTCCTCATAGGAGAGGTGCTCCAGCCCTCTGATCATCTTTGTGGCCTCCTCTGGACTCCTTGCTCGGCACCCCTTTTTTAATGCAGCCCAGGACATAGCTGTCCCTCCGGGCTGCAAGCATGCTGCTGGCTCATATCCAGCTTCTTGTCCACCAGGACCCCCAAGTCCTCCTCCGCAGGGTTGCTCTCAAGGAGTTCTTCTCCCAGTCTATACAAGTACCTGGGATTGCCCCGGCCCAAGTGCAACACCTTGCAATTGGCCTTGTTGAACCTCACAAGGTTCTCATGGGCCCACCTCTCCAGCCTGTGCAGGTCCCTCTGGATGGCATCCCTTCCCTCTATTGTATTGACTGCACCACTCAGCTTGGTGTCATCTGCAAATTTGCTGAGGGGGCACTCGATTCCATTGTCTGTGTCGTTGTTGAAGAGCACTGGTCCCAAGACAGACCCTTGAGGGACACCACTTGTGACCGGCCTCCACCCAGACATAGAGCTGTTGACCACAACCCTTTGGCTGTGGCCAGCCAACCAATTCTCCATTGTTCAAATCCATACCTCTCCAATTTAGAGAGAAGGATGTGGTGAGGGACCAGTTTCAACTCAGTCTGGTGCGAAATATGGTGACATGTTTTGTATGGTGTGATCATCCATTCAGCCGCTCCCTCCTGCCCTCTAGCTTCTGACAGTCACGGTGTAGGAACCTAATTTTACTTGTTCCTCTTTGAATCCAATTACACTTCTAGCTTCTGCAAGAGACAGAGACATCCATGGTCGCAGCTGACCTTGTGGACAAAGAATCAGACCGGTATCGTTAAACATACGTTAGATACTCTTTTACTTTGCCATGTAGACGTAACCTGAGTGTCTGGTGGTAGCCAGAACCTCTCTGAATTCCAGCCAGCAGCCTAAGTGCCTCGGATCTATGGGGAGCTTTATTATTGTGTTAAGAATTCGTGGCACATTTGGATCTGTGCTGTAGCAGACCTGAGAGTTTTTCAGACTTGGTGTCCCATCCATCGTGTCCAGCATGGCACATCGGAGGCTGTCTGGTGAGCCAGAACGGCTGCCTGGGTCATCGTAAGGAGCTGAAATCTTCAACCTGCAGTGTTGTTCCAGAGTAAGGGAACCAGATTAGCATTTTATAACAAGTGCATGGGCAGTTTAAATAATTGTTTGGTTTAAGAGTGTTCGGTTTGTCATTACCTGTCTTCTCCTTGCCATGATCCTCGTACTGCAGTCAGGCAGCTGGTTTTCCAGGGTGCTTTCAGAGACACAGCTGTAACAGCACCGAGGAGCCAAGCAAAGGAAGAACTGGTTGATTGCGAAGTGCAGCACAGACTCTGCCATTCAGGACAAAACCAGACATTGCAGTTTATGCAATCTGAATGTAATGCTGACTGTGTGGTAGAAACAGAGCTAAAAATTTTCCTTCTCGATTCAGTGTCTGAGCACTTGTAAAAAGAGTTTTGTTTTTGTTGTATGCCATCTCTGTTTTCTTTCTAAAAGACTCAGTATAACATAACAGGATAAAGGAGCAGTTCTCTTCCTTTTCTCTCCTTTCATCTCTTATGATCTGGTTTAGAGATTGTCATTGCTACTGCTGAGGCTCCCATAGATTCATGACGATTTGGAATACACCATTCCTGCATTTGTCCTGGTAATTACTTCCCTGGAAACAACTGACTGTTCAAGCATGCACTGCATTGGCAGTCAGAGCACACCATCCTCCCCTCTCCTCCACACCATTTCCAGCTTCTCCTATGAATCTGTTTGTACCCTTGTTTTCTTCTGTTCAGTGCTTGCACATTCTTGAATTTTCATTTAAATTCTAGTCTTCCGCAGTGGCCATTAAACTTGAATTTGTCTGCTAATTATTGTCCCGAGACAATAATTTGAGAGTGAAGTAGAACTCATGATTTGTTTGATTACCTAGTATTAGAAAGCAGACCAACTCGGCCAGAGCAATTAGCATCAGAAAGTTTGCCATGTGTTCTATACAAACAAAGAAGCTGCTCCTCAAGCTTCAGTGTGAAACTAAGTAAAAACAATTTTGGACATGCAACCAAATCTTCCAGAGATTAAAAATCTGGTTATTTCCAGCCACAGTTCTCAAAAGTGGGGCAGGTATAGGAGAAGGCAAGGAAACCGACGTAGAGAAAACTGTTAGATGGACTCTGTGCTGAATGCCTATGACGTGCGCAAGCAGCGGATTCAGGAACCCAAGCCGTGGTTACGACACTCGTGTGTGCTCAGCTCTGTGGCCAGCTGCACTCTCTGAAAGCAGCATAGTCCCCTGTTCTGTAGTTCTGGAAGCTTTAGTGCTTGTTCTTAAGTATCCATGCATGAGCCATTAGTGTATTTTATTGCAGTACCGTGTGCATGATGCAGACCAGGGTGAATTAAATAAGTAAGATTGTTTTTAGCAGAAAATGAAGTTAGACCTTGTATTCTAATAACCCTCTTGCGTTCAGCAGAACCAAAGTTATGATCTCTATTTCTAAAGGCAATCTCCACCATAGCTACTTGATTTTGTTTTTCTTTCCTCTTCTCATCAAGTGTTTTTATTTTCAGTCATTATATGGCTAGTAATGTTGTAAGTCTAGTTATTTGCCTTAACTCATTGTTCATTCCTGGTTTTTCCTCAGGAGATTTTTCCCACATAATTTAATTATAACATTGTGTTTTATGAATACAAGCAAGAGAAGCGAGAGTGGGCCCTGCGTGCCTCAGAAAGCTGTTGGGGTGTCTGTTTTGTTATGCAGCTTCCTTGTTACGTGCATGGTGGGAAATTGGGAACTTAAAGGCAGAATTTATCTTTGACTTAAGCAGTAAAGGAAAACTACTTAGTAGGTCCATAAAAGCTCCAGCCATGCAGCAGTTGCTTAACGGCGTTCATTTCTGGCCTGGATTCAAGGCGCTGCTTAATAGGAAGCCCTTGACCCAGAGCGTATGCAAGTCCATCGGAACTCATCGATTGCCCAGGGCGCGTGTGCAGCGAGCGTTGTCTCACTTGGTTAGTCATTATCAGCAGATTGATCCACTGCTGATTTTTCCACATTTCATCTGATCTTTGTGGATACCTTGAAGCTTTTCCAGAGACTTTTTAGCAACAGCTTGGGGTGGCTGTAGTTTGCCGTGGTGTCACCAAAGTGTGATATCAGATAAGTTTATTTCTCTGAATGCTGCATTTTAGAAAGCAAAGAGGTCAGCATTAATGGCTACATAGCTGTATCCACAAGCTCTTGTGTTATATTTTTATTTCTGATTATACCCTAAAAATTCCTACAAGCAGTGGAGGAAGGGGCCAGCTTTGGGTAGACTTCTCTCCCGTCTGGACATTCTTCTGGAGACGGGGGATGCTTGGCGTCCCAGATGAGCAGACTGCTGCAGGATTTTTGCTCAGGTGGGAGCATTTTGTCTGTTTGTTGTCATCCATGCAAAGGTAGCGGGCACAGCAGGGGTGGGAAGTGTTTTGCAGGGAGGTGGATGGAGGGCAACGAGCGGTTCGGGGGGGATCAGCACTAACCCTCCACACAACACCTCTTCTGGATCCTGGACTTGTTGTATAAGTGGGGGAACAATGTTCAACAGGTACGCTGCAGGCTGACCTTGGAATAGTGTCCTGATCATAAATTTGCTTAATAGCTCTGGACAGGGAATGCCACAGGATCGGTGTTATTTTGCAGGTGCCAGGGAAGTTCTCTGTGGTCAGTTTTTAAATCATGGTCATTTACAATGTGCTTCCCACCACCGATGTCTTCTAACATTCTCCTAAGAACCAGCAGCACCTGTTAATCATGTTTTTGCGTACTTTTCTTTGCTTGCATATTTCCTCACTGCAAAGGAGAAACTCTTGATGAGGTCTTAGTACCATCAGTGTTGACTTTAACCTCATTGCTATCATCGGTGTTAGGTTTTTTCTGGATATTTGAAAAAAAAAAAGGTATTTGGGCGTTAGAGAAGTGGGCCTGATCTTATAACAAGTTGCCACTCCTGAACGGGCAGTGGCATGTGAAGACATACCTTCCACATTTCTTTCCTTTAGATAAGCAAGGCTATAGACCTTAGTCATGCAATGGGGAAAGAATATGGTGAGAAACAGTGCTAAGCTTTCTGGAGAGCGCGCCTTCTGTGGGGAGCCTTTTTTACAGCTGACCTGGTGCTTTCTGTGGGCAGAGTCCCACGGGAGGAGAGAGGCTCTAGTGTTGCACAGCTAACAGGATGTGTACTGACATTTGTCCAGCTTCAGAGGAATGAGTGCCTGGTGAGTAATATACCACAGCCATGCTGGATCTTTTAAACTTTTTTTTTTTTTTAAACCAGTGAGAAGAAGCTTATCACAGATGCCCTGAATAAAAATCAATTCTTGAAGAGACTGGAGCCTCACCAGATTCGAGATATGGTGGAATGTATGTACGAAAGGACTTTCCAGCAAGGGAGCTATGTCATCAGGCAGGGAGAGCCGGGCAATCACATTTTTGTGCTCAAAGGTGAGTAGTGCTGGCTTGTACAACACACAAGTGCAGGAAACAGGAAAGTCATTTAGAAGTCTTTGCAGGAAACCACAGTGATGATGTTTGTGCTGCTAAATCATTTATGCTGGCCCTGCTGAGAGCAATGCAAGTTTTACCTGTGACTTTTGTGAAACAGAGTGAGAGCAACAAATGCACCTTAGAAACTTGACTCTTGATTTGATGCTGTTTCGTGAAGGATATGAAAGAACTTGAAGGACCTCTTTCATTTCTGAAAGCCTAGAGGCCAGCAAATCCTTTCTGCTGCAGGTAAAGCCATCCCTTTCTTCTCCAAAGGAAGAGCAGGTATATTTTAAAATATAGAAGACTGCTCAGTGGTGAAAACCACTTCTGAAATAAACTTACTTTTCAATATTTATGAGAGCTTATACCTGTATGGGAAATTCAGAGATGAGGTCTGAGTCTACTGTTCTCAAAGCTTAGGGTTTTTCTTAAAAAAACAGCTGCTTGCTTTTTATGAGAAAAAAAAAAAAAAGCGAAACCTAAGCTTTAGGATAAGAAGAATTTCCTAAAATAATATCAACAGATTGGAAGTAACCTCGCTGCAGCCATCTGTGCTGACTGCTACTGTGCTTATACTCAAATCACAGATCAGCTGTAGTGGAGCCCAAGTTCAACACCTGAAAGTTGTTCCTGGAGGGAATATTCTCTTTCATCATCTCACCAATTAAAAAAAAAAAAATCAGTTTTTGTGATTAATTTGTCTACTTTGTCGATTCTGGACCATTAGAAGGCCCAGTGGCTCATATGAATTAGAGTTCAAGCTGTTCTGATGAGACAGGAATATTTAAGCCAGGAGCATACTGGTATATGTTGGAAAGCACGTCTTCTGTCACATCTTCTGGCTTCATATGGATGTGTTAGTTTGAAAAATTGATGGTAGCTGTGTGAGGGTATGGTGCAGAGAAAAAGAGGGGGCAGGATTTGTAATGGGGTAGTCATATTCTTGCTAGACAAAATGATAAGGTTTTGAAAAACAGATTAAATATAAAGAAGAAATTGTGCACCCCAACATTTTTCTGTCTCAGTACACCTTTTCTGAGGATTCAGTGGGTGTCTTGGAGACAAGAGGTCCGAACTTTCAGAACATGTTTAAGGGAAGGTTTTTTTGAGCCATAACCTATGAATAATCTCAGACTTTATTTGCCCTTTACTAGGTTTGCAGTAAGGCTCAAGGACAATTTCTGGAAGGAGTATTTAATGTGCTTTTCGTTTTTCTGCCCTCTGCCTTGCATGCTGCACTTATGTACACGAATGTATATGAACAGATGAACCCCACCAGTGAGGGTTTATCCCATCAGGATTTAGAATAGCCCTTTTCCATGGCCTTTTTGGTGTTGAAAAGTTTCTTTCAGCTTTCCCTCCCTTCCACAGAAGATTTGTAAATCAGCAATACGTTAAAAAAAAAAAAAAGAAAAAAATACCTACTGGTTTGTTACCTGTGTTTCAAGGCACTGTTTTCATCCTTGTTCCCATTCCTGTGTTCCAGGGAGCAGTAAAGCCAGAAATATCTTGATTTGTTTTCCCTTCAGTCTCTACAGTTGAGCTCAGTTTTAATGCCTGTTATCCTGGTGATTTTTGACAGAGGGCAGTCTGGAAGTTTTTCAGCAGAATAAACTGCTTTCCTCGATAACTGTGTGGACGACGTTTGGTGAACTTGCCATTTTGTACAACTGCACGCGCACAGCCTCTGTGAAAGGTACCTAAAGTTTATTTTAGCAACATTACTCAAAATGAAGACTACGTACTTTTGGGAGGTCCCTGTTATATCAGGATTTTCTTTGAAGTTTCCATTTAATAGATGTCTGCATGTCCTGATTTTTATTAGTAAGCTCACGTTTCCTTTCCTGAGTTCCTTCTGCTTGGGGACTCTAGTAATACTATGCCATGAATGCAATTCCATCTCTTGCGCGACCTTTGATAGACAATCAGGCACCTCTGAAGTACGCTGGTTAGCCAGACCTGTATCAAACTAACAGCTAGGGAAGGATTATGTTTTAACGTTGAACTGTTTAGTAGCAGGGATGGTCTTTGGCTCTGATGCTCTTGTGTAGGATGCAATCCTGAGGCTGAAATTACAGTGAGTTTGAAAAGATATTAGAACCGTGGGGTTTTCAATAGAGCAGATGAAGCCTAATTCAAGACGAAATAAAATATGTAGGAATTAGTTGCTTTGTACTTCTCTTAGTTCTGAATCGTTAAGTTCTGAGTTTTGCCAAGATACATTTGCAGCTGGCATTTGTGGCTGGCGCTCGGGACAAGATTTGAGTTTGATTGCAAATGTGGTAGTGGGAGAGATGAAGCTTGTAGGTGAGACGTGCTGCTTCCCTGAGGCAAATACTGGCTCTTGCTTTGTGCTTACCGGCTGACCGGGATGGAGCTGTTAAACTGTTGCTGTGGTACAGATATCCCTCTTCCTGCGTAAGACTGGGTGTTCATCCCCATTAAGTACTCCTTGGTTCCTTTTGTAGTTTGCCATAATTATGCTGTGGCAGACCGGTAAGTGATCAAATACAGTTAAATTGATAATTTTTCCACTCTCTACTATTCCATAAAAATTACTTGTGTTTTGAAGCTAATTTCTGTTCTTGTCTAAATCTGCAGGAACTTTGAACCACTAGTGAGTATGAAGAGTTCATGTTGACTTAAAAAGGAGCAAATGAAATAAAACAAGAAGTTATTCACTTTAAAAGCTTCTGGTCTTTCTTCCTGCACCCAATTTAAGCAGTTAATCATTGTTGGCTGTGCAGATGGAAGTTATTACGTGTAATCTGTTTTTGTGGCTGCCTGATAAACAGAGCAGCATCAATAATGTGATTATTTTTCTTTCTAGCATGCTCTTCTATTTCAGTATGTTCCCTATTTTTCTTTTTTGCCTGCTGTATATAGTATTAGCATTACAGTGTTTCTGCATAGTAAGATGTCATGCTGGTTTAGACCTTTGTTAACAATAATTGCTTCTGAGGTAGGACAAAAATTCTCCAATTATGGATAAGAAAGGGTGTTTGAATACTTAAAATCACTGCAGAAACCTACCCCTCCCCAATAGCTTTCCTGTGTTTCTTGTGGAGCAAGAGCAGTACAATGCCATGGCTGAGCAGGACTAGTAAATACAGATGTGAAAACCTTTTTGATGCTGAATGTAGTGGCCCCCCTTTACCTGCAGTCTTTGAAAACTGACAAGTGAAGGACTTTAGCCAGACAGCTTTGCAACGGCTGCTGCTGCCCAGCAGCATCTTTACATGCAGTAGCTGCATTTGAAACTGGGGGTGTGATTTTACTGCTGTGTTTCTGAATTCCTCTTTCTCTATCTCATCTGTGAGATTACAGGCTCTTTTCTAGATATAGAATTGATTTACTTAAGGTGCAAGATACAGGAGATGGGTTTGCGGTAGCTTCGGTACTTGCCATACTTTCTCCCTGTAAAGTAAGCTGAAAGATGTTATTTAGGAGAAAAACGAAACCAAGCAATACCTTTGTTCTCCCTACCGGCATTTTGAGCTGTTTTGATAACTGCTAGTTAAAAGCATATGTGCATATCGAGGTTAAGTATCAAGACTGATGACTGACCCCTGTGCTCTTTTTAAACCTGGAATTTTTCTTTCCTAAAAATGGTTCTATGTTTCTGATAAATTGAGGCAATAAATCACTCCAATTTTTCTATAGCTTTCCTTTGTCCCAGAGAAAACATTTCTGTTCCTTCATGTGACAGAAAGAAAACTGATGAGTATGATATAGCATCTTTTAAAATAAGAAATTAAATGATATGGAATAATTTTATTTGGCTTAGAAAAAGTGTGGTGTTTTCTGTTGTGTCGATGATTGCACACAGGGGCTGCTTAGTGGTCTGCATCTTTGGTGCTGGATCTCGTGCATGCTTGCTGTATTAATATTTTTATTATCTTTTGAAAAGTAATAATGTTTTGATTACGCTTTATTCCCTTGTAAAATGGCTACAGTGGAGGAAAAGTGGATGAGGATCACAGCAGGAAATGAAATTAAACGTATTTCTTGACCTCTGTTACTCCCGTCTTACTGCATTCTCACATGTAACCCGAATTGGAGATGGATCCAAGCCACAGTGTTCAACATTTGCCTGATCAGTTCTGAACAACTCCAGACAAGTTTTTGTTTCTGTCAGATCAGCTCTCGTCCAGATTACATCGGAGTTTTCTATGCAATGACCATCCGAGATGAGGAGCAGATCTTCACCAGCACTCAGCCCTGTTTGTCCTCATACAGATTTCCACAGAGCTGGAAGTCTACCCCTGACTTCCGTGAGTGTTGTTGCAGTGGGAGCTGAGTTCTTGTAACAGTCTGATGGCAGCAGGTGCTGAATATTTCAAAATATGGCCTTGGGCATTTTGAAAGAGCTGGTCGGTCTCATACCGTGACTTGATAGTGTGGTGTCTTCCCTCAAAACATTCGTAAACGTTGTTGATTGTGTTGGTTTTTGTTTCCTTAAAGCAATCACCAATGTTAAAACATGGGCATTGGACAGAGAAGTGTTTCAAAATGTCATGAGAGCGACAGCACAAACAAGACAAGAGCAATACAGAAAATTCCTCAGAAGGTAAATATAATGCATTTCTGTTTCTAATATTGATTGGGCTACTTCCTTAGGTGCACAACAACATTGCCCCTGTCTTATAAAGAGAAAGAGGAGGAACTCTTAATGGAGAGGGCGTTGATAACCTGAATATTTACCTCCCTTGATTTTTTTAGGATTCACAAAATAATTTCTCGTATTTTGATTGTTTTTCTCCTGTATTGCATTAGGAAAGAGAAATTGCTTTTAAGGAATGCAGCAATTCTGTAGGAAGCTTACATGGCTATAAGTTAAAACAATATATTAAATAAACAAAGTTAATGAAATCCTCCAACTAGAAGGTAATTTGCCAGTGGAGTAGGTGAAGGGATATTCTTCATCCCTTGGAGACTTGAATATGAGAACTGCATGTCTCTCTTAATTTATGAACTAATTCCAACGTAAGTTACTAGGAAATCTGCAGAGAGTTGAAACAATCCTCTCCCCTGCAGGGAACACTGAGAGATTTACAATGCTTTTCCTTAGGAAGAAGGTCAAATTAGAGGTTCCAAACCATAACGAGCTGATTTAATATTTTATTTCTTTAATAAAGAGTGATCATTCTGATATGGCTTCAAATTGAGGTCTCAAGCCTAGCTATGCATAGAATATCGTGTGTATTTTTGCGTCCGTCTCCGTCTTTGATTCCAATAAATATTTCCTTGCTGACCCCCAGGAGATCGAGAGCTGTATGATTTCCCAGATTTTACAAGTCTGACTGCTCAGGATGGGAGGTTTTTTTCATTCTTACCAGCAAGTTCACTAAGCCATCGCTGTAGTTGGATTCTCTTTTAGTAGTTGTCCAAGTAGTACTGAAGTTTTTGCCTTTGTCTGATTTTGCAGTCTCTACAGTGCATTTGAAGATATATTGTTGGATTACGATAGTGTCCTTGTTTTGCGATTGATCGATTCTGTATGGCTGAATTTTGAAATTAGTCCATGTGCCCGCTAGAGATTTTTTGCCCCCTACTGAAATACAGAGTTGATTTACAAACTGACTGTTTGCCACATTTCTGTAAGTTGTAGGAGTTCTGTTTATCTAAAAAATAAGATGGGAATGCTCAAACCTTGTATATTATGTGTTTTGTGTAGCACCACCAGTTTAGTTCTAAAATGTGGTTGTGCAAATTGTATAGATGAGAAGAGATAATAAAAAAGTGTCAATGAAAACTACTTTTAAGGTTTTTTTTTTGTTTTGCATTTCTGTTTCCTGGAAGCGTGTCCCTGCTGAAAAACTTACCTGAAGATAAACTAACCAAGATCATGGACTGCCTGGAGGTGGTAAGATACTGTTAAGTTTTTTTAAATAGTATTCAGTAAGGTTTCAGAGTAATAAAGAAGAATAAATAAGTACAAAACCAAAAACACAACCGAATTTTTTTTAGTATGATGGTGTTTTTGGAGTGGTCAGGGTGGAATTCCAGGTTGGCAGTAAATAATAACATTTAGTGGCATAAAAGTAAGTTATATCTTTAGCATCGAAGGAGTCAAGCAAGTAGGTAAGAGGAATTATAATCTAGCCTTTATTAAGTACAAAGTTGCTGTCCACATCTCTGACTCTTTTGGTAATCGCTCTTTGCCTGTTTGCAACATGGATATGAAATACTTCCATCTGCCTCGACCACGTACACTGTGAAATTTAAGGGGCAAAAGGCCTTAGGACTTCCACGCATGAAACCAGCCCCATATCTGTGTGCCTCAGGGCTGCTGCCTCTGCCAGCAGCCTCTGGAGGTCAGGGCTGGATACAGCGTCACGGCTGGGACATTTCCTGAGAGCAGTGAAAACCATGAATGCTTTTGCTGTAGGAACCCCAGACAGTTCTGCAGATGGAGAATACAAGTTCCTCAGAAAATGAGGAGCCTCAGTCCCAGCAAGTCAGAGGAGGCAGACGGTTGATGCGTGGCTGTGGCGCAAGGGGATGGGGACATGGTGGTGGTGACGTGGGGCGGGACGTGGCCTCAGCACATCAGCGCCTTGAGCAGTGATGGTTTTTTGTGGGGGATTCCTGGCAAGGGAGGGCTTTCTGGAACACTTGGAGGAGAACAAAATGAGGTGATTGGTTAAAAGGAATGGATCACAAAGCAGAAAGCTAACGTGGAAAAAAGGTTTGATTGAGTGTTAAACAACTAAGCAACGAGCACAGGGTTCCTTCACAGAGACAGAAAAGTTGTGTTGGTAGCTTGCGACAGATGATTTAGGCACTGCCACTGAGGTGTCAAGCCTAAAATTACTTTTGGAAATGGGATTTTGATTTAGAACTCTTCAAAGAGCTTTTGATATTCTTTTTCTTCATTTTACCCTGCTTCATAAGGATGATAGCAGTGTTAATATTTTTTTAAACAAATAACGTGCTGCTGCATTAAGATATGTTACAGATTGGCCACCATGCTTTACATAGTGGAATGTTTGCATATTATTATGGGATGCAACATATGCAGGAGATAGGAAGTGAAACATCAACGGAACATCCAGCTGTATTAAGAACTCTGCATAGTCATCAGAATTTTCAAAGCAGCGAGTTGATATATTGAACAATATTGTCTCTCTCTTCCTCCCTCTCCCAACAGGAATACTATGACAAGGGAGATTATGTTATTCGGGAAGGAGAAGAAGGAAATACCTTCTTTATAATAGCGAAAGGAAAGGTAAGATATAAGAAACCTAACTTATAACACATACAAACACCTGTATTTCAAAAGCTGTCTTGAGGGATGCGGTCTTCAGTAAAATATGTGCAGAGAGTTTTGAGGATGCTGCTAAGTTCACAGTGCTGTGATAAAAGCCTGGAGCAGTGTTTCAGACATTTGGGGAGCCTAATTTTCATTCACAATGCAGCCATGATACTGTTCTAATTATAATGTAATTAAAGTATGTCCTGAAGCCTCTTGACACTGTAGCAGAGATGGAAATTTTTTGTAATTGAGATTCGATCCCGTGTGTTCTTTTTGGTATTTCAATATCTGACAGGCAAAGCATAGGCTTGTGAAATGTCTGAGAAATAATGGAGTCCTGGGTTTAGGGGAGAACAGCTCCCTAGGTGACATGGTCAGGGTCTGTTCCTCTCACTCGTTAGTCCCGGAGGAGGCAAGCAGCAGCCTTTATCTGTCTCCTGTTATGCCGGAGGCTGACACAGGATTCTGAAGAATCGGAGCTGGAGAATTTTCTTCAATAGACTTCCAGGAGGGGTTTCAAGTTTCCAAAACGTGTCTGGAGATGTTGTGGTTTGTTTTTTGCTGGTGGGTGTGGGCGTCAGCATAATGTCTGCTGGTGTGGAATCAGAGTTCCATTGCTAATGGCTCTGTATGGTGATGGACCTTTGCCGAAGAACTGGAGGAGACTAGCAATATACGCATCAGTGTGAGCCAAGGTTTACTTTTAAAAAAAATTTATGTAGTTCTATTTTTGAACAAGGAAACTCATTTGAAACAGTAAAATGCTGTTTGAGGAACTAATTAATATAATTTTCTTTTTAATTTTTTTTTTAAACTGAAGTGGTGTTTGAATATGTGGAGTGTGATGAAATATTTAAAAAGTGCAGGCAAATATAAAAGTGATTATTTTGTAAATTCTATGGGCTGATTTCTTTGTAATGGGGGAAGGTGTTAGTTAATGTTTCTGGACGCTGTCTGTTTAGCTGAGAAGACAGAAAGCTCACATGATACCCACCCACTATGGGAACTCAAGTATTTTTCAGTTTTTCGTTAAATTGCGATTTATTTTGCTCTGTTTTAAACAGTGTGAGGAGAAAATGATGGAGGGGGGGGGGGGGGGGTGCAATAATGAATATATTAATTTTTCCACCTCTCATCAAAAATCAGGGAGCTGTCAGGGGGTGTCTGGTGGTTTTAATTTTTGAGAGGAGAGAGTAATTATACATATTTGTAACTCTTTCTGCAGCATTGCTGAGTTTAAGGCATTTATGAAATACACAGCAAAGAAGGGGAAATGGTGCAACACTTCGAAACCTACCTTGCTAAATTTTTGTTCCTGCACTTTCTAGGTGATAGTTACCCAGAGTACTGCAGATCACTCGCAGCCTCAGCTGATTAAAAACCTGCATAAAGGAGATTACTTTGGAGAAAAGGCGCTCATTAGGTTCGTTCACTTCGTATGATTCGCGATGTGTAGTATTTCAGCTGTGACCTGTCACTATGTGTCAGATTATACACCTTGTTGCTGTTCTGAAAATAATCTTTGTTTTGATTGGGGAGTTGGCAGATGAAGGCAATGGCTGAATTTGTCTCAATGTTTTGTTTTTTTCAGAGAGAACTCGAAAGCTTACACTGTCATCTACCTTTGGTTTTCCCTGAAAAAGTCAAATTCTGACCCTCTCTGCATTGTTGCTTATTGTTTATATTTCAGTAAAAACTGTGATAAAGACTTGTGCCAGGCTGTATGTGACTCCTGGCGTGGATAAGTTCCATCATTGCTGGCTGAGCTGTTGCTTCCGTGTCAGTGCCTGTGATAGTCGGAAACAGAGAAAAGGAGGACAGAGAACACATGACCAGTGAGCCAAATGGCTCATATAGCAGAGATTTGTGTGGGTGGTTCAGTAGTGATCGTTTGGTTTCTGGAATGTTTTATACATGAGGATCCTTTCAGAAACAAGTGATAAATCCTGACATATTACTAATTACTTCTCATCCTAATTTCTTGGAAGGTTGCTAAAGACAGTCATGATCCAAACCCTGTTGAAACTGGAAAAAATACTGTGCTAGGCAATAATAATGACTAGCAAAATGCTATAATTGTGTATTTGTTTCAGCAATATTAACCCAGTTACAGGCTGCGGAAGCCTTCGAGGAGTTTCCCCTACAGCCACTGTGACCCTCCGTGAGCACAGGGTGAGGTGCTTGGAAGATTTTGATACGCTTCTGAATTCTTCTCATCTGTTCCAATTTTCAGTGACGATGTCCGATCAGCAAACGTTATTGCAGATGAACACAATGTGGAGTGCCTCGTTATAGACAGAGAGTAAGTATCGTCCCAGTTTGATGACAGACTTACGTCCTCTTTTGGTAAGTCAGCAGCAAGGTGCGACTTCACTGCAGGCACCACCGCAGTGTTTCCTTAAGCAAATACTGAACGAGCCGTTATGCTTTTGGAACCCTAGTTTGTGGTGGTGCTTTAGACAAAGATCTCACAAAGAGAGGCTGACAGCGGGTGCAGGAGCACAGGAGCTTCAGAGTAGTTCAGAGTTATTCTTCTCTTTCTCTCCTTGTGGTGGTGATGTTTCACGTTTGTTAGGTGCTATTCAGTGGCTGAGGGAGTGACAAAAGCCCCTGCGTGTCCCTGGTTTGGGGATGTCTGTTTGTTGAGGGGGACGTATTCCTGGTTTTGTCAGGTAGAGGCCAACTGTACGCTTCCGAAAGTGGAAAAAAAATGGAACAGATGGAAGACATAAGAAAGGAAGATCCCAATGGAAGGTGAAACAGCAGATCCACGTTTCTCAGGGCTGGCTGTAAGGATGCCTGCTTGGAAGGTGGACAGCCACCATCCTTCTCCTCGCTGAATTCCAAAGGGCTCCTGCTGAGGGCCAAGATTTTGCCCCAGCCCAGGAAATGGCATCTTGAGCTGTGAATGCATTTTCTTCTTCTCTTCTTTAGCTTGTTTAAATAGGTTGTGGAGAAGCATGCCAGAAGCTGGTGCATGCTTCCCATGGTGCTACTATTCACCTGTGAAGTACGAGAGGTGCTTTCCATCGCTTTGGCAGCATGTACCAGGGGCTCTGTCCATCGGGAGGGAATGATGGATAGCCTGGACTCATGCCCAGCTGGTTCCCATGGCAGGGATGGTGGAACCACAATTAATAACCATAGTAGTGCACGTGGGAGGCAAAGTACACCCAGCCTGCTCTGAATTATTTAAACATAATGTGAAACGGCTGGAGGGGATCAGGTGGTCTTTCCATCTACCTTCTGGCAAACCAAGTTTGATGCTTCAGCTGGTTACCTCCTCTTCAAACCTCTTAAAATCTGTACTGTCAAAGTGATGGTGTAAAGCTCAGTCTGGGTCATGACTTACAGGCAACGTAAAGCCCTGGTGCAGCAGCACAGATGCTGGTTTCTTTCTCTTTCCACTGTATCTTCAGTAGTTTCTACCATTTAATTTCTGTTTTTAGGACATTTAATCAAACTGTTGGAACTTATGAGGAGCTCCAAACCTACCTTGAAGGCTATGTGGCTAACCTGGCCCGGGCTGATGAAAAGCGGCATGCAAAGTAAGTCAGATCATTTGTTAGGCACATCTTTAGTAGGCAATCATAAAAGAGTGATAGGTGTGTATGTAAAATCATGGGCCCCTAGGAATGATAGCAATTGCTATAATAAAAATATATGGCTGTGCTTATGGAGTCTAAGAAGTTTTATTTTCTGAAACAAAAATTGCATAGAATCTCAGTGTATTGACTTCCAACCAAGAACTCACTCCAACCCAGGAAAACTGAGCACAGAAAAGAAGTGAAAGTGTGCTTAAATGGTTTTTTTGCCTTCTGATGGTAAATGATAAAACCCCTAAAAGTCAATTTTAATTCCAGACTGTGTTGATGAAACTTTATGACTGTCCAAAAGACTGATTGTCATTTCAAATAGAAATAAGCAGACATAAAAGATCTTAAGTTTATTTTTAACGTTTCAATGTAACACCGGTGCTATTAAAGAGTTTGCTTTTGCTGTGAACCGCACTTATAGTTTATCTGCCTCTGTTTTCTGCCTAAGCACCACTGGAAGATTAGCGGAGTATGTTTTTCTTCCACATAGAAATATAGCTGCATTTTTATGTCAGATCCTTCTACTGGAACTGGTACACAGTCCTTCAGAAATTGGTTTTCCAACTTGAGTGCCCAAAGTTTTGCAGCTGACTGCAACCACACTGTGGATCAGCTCTTGACAAAAATACCATTGATTGTAGTCAGTGAACTTTGGTAGCATTTTGCTTCTAATTTACTTCCATAGGATGTCCAGAAAGAAAGTGCTTCTACATAAAATAAGTAAAAAGTAAGATTCTGTTAGGAAATAAGAAGGCTTTGCTTTTTTTTTTTTTTTTTTCTTCTCTAGTGTTAGACTGCTGTGATACAGGCAAGAAGGGCACTAACCTATGTTCATTTTCTTAATGCAGAGGAAGATCCTTCTGTGGACAGTCACTCAGAGAGGTGTCTTTGGAGATGATAGAGCTGCAGGAGAAAGTAGCCCAGTTCCCTCCTTCCCCGTTCCAGAATTTAGAAGTTGTCACAACTCTGGGTGTTGGTGGGTTCGGAAGGGTCGAGCTCGTAAGAGTCTGTTTTAAACATATTCAAGAAGTTCTCTGTCTTTAAAAGATTGATTTCATGGCTGAGAGATGTGAAGGATTTTACTGTTTTTTCTGCATACTTGTGCCTCTCTGGCAGAGGTAATTCTATATAAAGCAATGCATAGTTAGAAAATATTTTTGGGACTTCAGAGTTCAGAAAAACAAATCCACTCTTGTGTGCCTTCATTTCCTGCTGTTAAAAGTACCTTCCTGGTCACTAGACATGTATCCCTTAAGTTTGTGCACACGGAGTTTACAGATGTGCCTGCTGGCATCACGCTCCCTGCGTGGCACGCCCTTTCCCAAGGTTCTTCCTGGACCTGACGCTGTCTCCACATCACCTAGTCTGTGGTGTTGGAATTGCTTCGGCGTGGCCCACAGCAGCGATAACCAGTGTGGTCTGGCTCTGAGCGGTGTTGACATTTAAATTTCCAGCAATTTGTAATGGCTCGCGCAGAGCCTCGTTAGACTAAAGTCTTAAATTCCGCTCTCCTCGGGCTGAGTAGCAAACATCTGGAAAAAATGGGACCGCTTCTTGTGCGGGCTGTTGAAGGTAATAGTAAATTAAAGGAGGCTACGTGATTTTGGTGAAGTCAGTAATCCTTTACAGTAGTTAGACCATCAATTGTTTTATTCTGGTTCATGCTTCACAAAAATTTCCGTGCTGGTTGGCTGCCAGCTTGGAAATTCTACAGCGTCACCTGATTAATAAGCTAAAAAGTTAATTCTGAGCCAGCTGTAAAACACCAATAGCTGCTGCATTGGTTTCCTGGAACCCCTGTTTTAACTTGCATGTTTTCATTGCCTATTGGGTAATATTTCAGTGTAATGTGCAACAATTTGTAAACTTTTTTCATAAAATGCCTCTGCTTTTTGTTCTTTTGTATTATGCTTGTGTGTAGAAATCTTAAATTGAAATTAGGGGCCGTAGTGGGTATAAACTTGTAAAATATAGTACCTATCCAAACTGCCTCATGTTTTGTATACATAAAATTAATGCAGGGAACATTTCATTTTCCAAGTGGGGACTGGGACACTAAAAAGATGTGATGCTTGACTTAAAATCATACAGAACAGTTCTGCAGAAAATCTGAGATTTGTCCCTTATTATGGTCATCCATTTCAGTCCTGTGCTATGTTGAAAAAGATGGATTTCGGTGAACCTATTGAGAACAGGTTGATAAAACATCCTTTCTTTGCCTCACATGTACTTATCATTTTTATTCACAGGTTAAAGTGAAAAATGAGAACGTGGCTTTTGCGATGAAGTGTATAAAGAAAAAGCACGTAGTGGACACCAAACAACAGGAGCATATCTATTCTGAGAAGAAGATCCTCGAGCAGATATGTTCTCCGTTTATTGTAAAGTAAGTTGACCATAAGGTTTCCTTGAAAGTTGACCCCCAGTTGACCCATGGCACAGGATTATTAAGAATCACATTTTATTTTGCTTTTCCTAAATTGCTGCCGTTTGTCTCCACAGACTATATCGCACGTTTAAGGATAGTAAGTATGTATACATGCTGCTGGAGGCTTGCCTTGGAGGGGAATTGTGGAGCTTGCTGAGAGACAGGTAACGGCAAATTAAGAGGAACCTTGTCTGTACGTCTGCTGAACAGGTTCTCTGTTTGAGGGCCGTCTGATGAAAAGATGCTTGGTTTAGTTTTCAACCACATGAATGACATCAGTGCAAGAAAGCTGTTAATACTCTGCATGTTACTTGTTGTCTAGTTAATGAGATAGGCATTTTTAGAAGTTAATTGTCTGCAAGGACAGTGAATATTTGTGTTCCAGAGAACAGTGAATATTTTTGTTCCAGAGGCAGCTTTGATGAAGCCACCACCAAGTTCTGTGTTGGGTGTGTGACAGAGGCTTTTGACTATCTACATCCCATAGGAATTATCTACAGAGACCTGAAGCCAGAAAATTTAATTTTGGATGCTGAAGGATATATAAAACTGGTAAGATGTAATCCTTTTGTGATGTTATCCTTTTGTGCCTGTATCCTTTTTCCTTGCAGGGTGATATAAATAGACAGCACCAGGATCCTGGAGTTTAATAGCCCTCACGCTTCAATAGAAAAGAGGGCAAGCTACTCATTGCCCGGTGAGAGACAAAGGCGTTGCAAAGCCATTGCAAGCCACAGACAAAATGGGCATCTGCAGCCTCCAACAGCTCTTGCCACAGCATAAACAGCAAAAGCAATTTATCCCAGCAGCCAATCTTAATGTAAAAGCAGGAACCACATTTCCCAGGTGGAGAATTACCTCCCTGTCCAGCCTCAAGCAATCACAGGTTCTACATCATGTTGGTAGAGAGGGAAAGCAGTAAAAAGCTCCTGCTGTACTTGACTGTGACCATGAAAAGTGCAGAGAATACCCTTCAGAGAGCTTGAAACGCCCGCTCTGAGGACAACGAGCAGCCCACCGTTTTCTGTGGGCTGTAGATCTCGTGTCCTCGAGGAACACAGGGGCTGTTCTATCCAAAAGGAAAAAAAATTGGGAAGGTACTTGTGAGAATAAATGGGTCTGTTCTGTAGCATTCAGTAATCCAGTGGAATTGCTTTTTTCTCCTTCACAACAACACTGTGTAGTTGTTTTATCTCAGAACTGGCAACTGTGAGATCTCTGTGGGAGGTGAGGAAGTAATTAAGACCTTTAGGCTTCCCAGTGCGAAACACCTCTGCATTGTGCACCATATGTTGATTTTGGTCAGGTTGATTTTGGATTTGCAAAGAAGATTGGATCAGGTCAGAAGACCTGGACGTTTTGTGGAACCCCCGAGTATGTTGCCCCTGAAGTAATTCTGAGTAAGGGCCATGACTTCAGTGTGGATTTTTGGTCTCTTGGGATTCTTGTGTATGAACTCCTTACTGGCAGGTAAGTGCATCCTACTCCGAGTTCTTACCTTGTTCGGTTTTTTGTTTTTTTTTTTTTTTTTTTAATGTTTTAAAGGTTATTTTAAAAATAAAGTTTGTTTTTCCCATCAGTAAACAGGTGTGACTTGCAAAATTGTATTTCTTTTTGCCTTATACATGTCTTCTGTTCCGTCATTTCATAAATGCCACACACAAGGTGTGGGCCCCGTTCTCGATTCTGGGTTATCCATCTGGGGAAGGGCCAGACACAAGCTATAAGTGGCTGGCGTAGAGCTGGTTTTAACTGATGCTGGGGTTTCCAGATAATCACAGTCTCTTCTTTTCCCCAGCAGTGGGTGACGGGGTGCAGTGGGGTGGGCGAACCATGAGCAGGGCTCGTTCTTTGCCTCTGCGCATGCTTCCGTGGCAGCTCTTGGTGGATGCTCAATGGCAGCACAGCGTGGAAGCTCGTCCGAGTTCAGCTGGAAGCAGAGCTAGTTTAGAGGGACACATATGATCACGCGTTTTCCCTGGTACCCACAGGCAGCTTTGCAACTTCAAACTTGTGTAATATCTTACACAGGCTGAAGGGCTGAAGGCTGTAAAATGAGAAAGGTGGGCTTCTTCCATATTGTCAAATATTTGCTTTCATGAGAAATGGCTGAATCTGCTGTTGTCAGCCATTCCATTTAACAGTGTTGCTTTCTTTTTCTAGTCCGCCATTCTCTGGGGCTGATCAAATGACGATATACAATTTGATTCTCAAAGGCATTGAAAGGCTCGATTTTCCTAAAATAATAACCAGACAGCCTGAGGATTTGATCCGCAGACTCTGCAGGTAGGAGAGGCCGTTTGTAGCAGAGCCTGGGTGTAGACAGATTGAGCTATTTAATATCCAGATTAGAGTGGTGAATTCCTGACAACTTCATTTAAAATTATTATGCCTAGCATGGTCTATTCTGATTATATTCGGTACGCATGCATGCCTCTGAGTGCGTCACACCTCTTGGTCTGCAGAGGTGTGATCTACACATGCAGGCTCTGGGCCCTCGGTGTCGCTGTGATTTTTTTTTTCTGAAACACATCTTGAGGAAAACTTATTAAGCACGGGCTGAGGAAAGACCTAAAGAATTTTATTACCAAGTGCAATGTTTTACAAAAAATGCTTCCAAAATTACATATGCTTCCAAAATTACTTAGGCATATAGCTCCTATGGAAAGCATAGTGCACTTAAAGACTGATTTAAGCCCACTTGAAAATGTGCAAGAAGGTGATATTTCAAAAGGGACGGCATAACTGAGAAGCATTAGTGCATTGTGGCATGCACAACCTGTGTGGCTGTTGACACTGCTGCCCTGAACTCCCAGCTCCAGCGGGATTTCATCTCTGGCACTCGGAACGGTATACACTGTGTTTGTGAGGCAGGTTGAAAGGATCTTTGTGGCTGCAAATTTTGGTCTGCCTCCTTTTGCAACTCACGACCCAGACCTGCTGGCCAGGAAAAAAAAAAGGCGTGCAACTAAAATTCAACCAGTTGATTTCTCCCTGCTGTTTCTCACAGCAGGGTGACAGTGCCTTGGCTTCCTGAAAGGCTTCTCCATTCTCAAAAGAAAGGAGCAGTGAGCAGCACCTCACTATGTCCCCTTATGAGACTGTGTGTTGTATGCAAACTCCATCCCTGCATAACTGTTAAATGCAAGCAGTGAGGATGTATAAAAGCTCTTTAAAAAAAAAAAAAAAGAATATTTTTTAATTCTTACCCTTTTTCTTTTTCTCTTTTTTTAAGGCAAAACCCTACAGAAAGATTAGGCAATCTGAGGAATGGAATTAATGACATCAAGAAACACAGGTAAGTCAAAGAGACTGCCAAGAAGAAAATTAGTTTTTTAATCTGAAAATATTTTTAATATTTTAGAACCCAGTCAGGTAAACCCAGAAAGCCCTGGGCGTTTCCAGGAAGATTGTCTGAGAGAGATCTCTGTTGCTGTTGAATACATTTGTGACTACAGCAAGCAACGATATAAAAGTAAATACTCAGCGTGATTATCTTAGAAACATGTTGTTTTTTACTGGTTTTGTTGCAGGTTGCTGATGTGGGAGTTTAATTCAGCTCTCAGAGAAATTGATGCCAGTTCAGTATCTGTTCTTTCAGACCTCCCACCTCTTTGATCTAAAACCAAACAGTTGCTTTTTAAGAATGGTAGTTAAGAGCTCCAGAGCAGTATTAGGTTTTTGTCCTCTCTCTTCTAATGGAGAAGGTGCTCTGTGGATTACATATTTCCTGTTTTTTCTTTTTATCCAAGTTGTTTCTAAGCCCTGCAGTTTGTGCTTGGGAAAAGAAGTGCTTTGACTTTCCTGCTTGTCTGCCTCTTCTCATTGCTGTCAAGAGGGTGGAATTCCAAGGGGACGTGTAAGGGGCTGTGCTTATGCATATGCATTCATTAACCTTCCTGTGGCTTTGGCACTTCTGTACAGAGGAGATGCAACGTAGCTGGTGGTCCTGAAGCTCCCCCTGCTCCCGCTCCCTCCTATGGCAATGGCAGCGCTCAGGCTTTCTCCTTCTAACACCTATGCTGTCACACGGACAGAAGTTGTCACAAAAAAATGTACTATAGCCCTTGTTTACATGTTTTTCAGCTATTAATAGTATGAAAGAAACCAGTCTGTCTTTCTCTCTTGGTCTTTCCCTGTCTGTCTCTTGTTACTTTTTAATCAGGTGGTTGAGTGGTTTTAACTGGGATGGTCTGAGAGTGAAGAAATTACCATCACCTTTGAAAAGAGAGGTATTGGCTTTGGCTTTCAATATCATAGTGCTTTACTAATATAAAGGTGCTTGGCTACAAAGAAACAGCTGATAATGAGAGTGAAATGTCCCAAAGATGCATTTGAATTATTACAGCTCACCATTTTTAGTGCAAATCGAATGAAGGAAAGAGACAGCAAGCAATGCATAACTTTAATTCAGTTAAATAATGGAAAAATTATTCTGCATGTGTACTTTACCTTAGATTTTCACCATTACAAGAATAAATAGTGTTTGGTCAGAAAGGAGTATGAAAAAACATATTTTCTGTGGTAATGGGCACGTTATTAGGATGCACTGTTTACTGTGCAGAGTACAAATTTATGTATTCTCTTACTACTGAGTTACAGCACATCCTTGAATAAGCTTCTTGTTTAAATAGCCCATTTCTCTTTGCCCTAAAATGAAGAAAAGATTGAGGGTCAGGAATTTGAAACTCACTTGGAGTTGGAACTCAATTTGAAACAAATGATGATTCTGAGATCTGCTTTGAGTAGCTACCCATGAGTGTAGGTTTGGTCTTAAACAAATTTGAATCAAAATTGTACACAGTGTGGCCCGGTTTTCTTACTGACTCTATAGGGCCTTGGGGGTAATCTAGATTTGATAGTATCTGGGGAGTGCTTTTGTCTAAGGAGGCTAATGCCATTGTTCTGTTGTACAATTTGATTACCAGAGGTTTATCTTTTAAAGGATGAGGAATTGCATCCATTGAAAGAAGTCATCTATATCATGCTAGCCTTTCATTCCTCCCCTAGCAGCAATAAAAATGATGCGTAAACAATGGAGAGTATTTTCAAAAGTTACAATTTGGAACAACCGTTTGTTTTTAATGTCTAGTTGTCTGGACCGACTGACTACCACTACTTTGACAGCTATCCACCTGAAGAGGGAACCCCTCCAGATGAACTTTCAGGCTGGGACAAGGATTTCTGATGTTTTTTTCTTCGACGACATTTATAGAGACTCATAGGCATAAGTTCTAAACCTTCTCTCTTGTTTCTTGCTTAAAATCACATTCTGCAAGGTTTGTGACAAACACAATGTTCCTTGAAGGACAGACGGCAGTACGACAACCAGAGCTTGTTTGGACAATGCAACAAAATCTGTGCGCATCTCTTCATAACAAGGGCAGGTGCAACCTGAAAGTTTTTTGATACACAGTGTGTCTATGAACATTTTCAGACACTGCAAATTGGGTGCATGGTTTTGCCATTGGAAATATCGGTAGCTAATATTTTTATATTAACAAGGTTACCATATGTCTTCATTTTGAATGGAGAGGATGAGTATTGGAAGCCAGTAATGTTGTGGCGTTTGTTAACAGCTGACACTATAGGCATTTGTTTTTCATTGTATCTTGTTTGCTGTGTGTGTCACTAGTATTGCAGTGAGGCAGAAGCATGTAGAAAGGAGACTTTTACTGAAAGGCTGATTTAATCTGATGCTGCGGCTAAACGGTTGTCACTGCGGAAGATGCCTCTGTCAGTCTAGTTTTGTGCCAGGTTGAACATGTGAGACAGGATGTAACAGGTCAAATGAAAATCTAGTAGGAACGGAGGTGTATACATAATAGAAATTGCCTGGAGAAGCAGACTGTGGTATGTATTTCCCTTACTGCTTCAAAGAGACGTGTCCACTTCTTAAAATATTTTTCTTTCATGTAGTGTGAAGATAAAATAGATGGGCAGAAAGCATTTACCTTGCAGGAAAATAATATGTTAGTATAGAATAATATTTTTTCCTTCAAATATATATTTTCAGATTGCTTCTGTTGATATTTTGCTGAAATGCTGCATCTGTTCACATCGGTGGTTAAACTCCCACTCGTTTCAATGTTCCACTTCCTATCACTAGATGTGAGCTATCATTTTAGATCATATTTCATCAGGCATCTTATTAACATAAAATTATTCTGAGTTCTACTCATATAGGAGGGGAGAATAAAAGATCAACAACTTGATTTTTTTTTTCTCTTGTAAGGAATTCTGTTCACGGATCAGTTGTAATATTCTGTTTTATTTTGACTGCCTTCCTTTCTCTCTTGTGGCTACTAATGAGGTTTAGAAAGGCAAGAAATTCCAAGCTCCTGTCAAAAACAATATAAAAGTATAGTTGTGCTTTGCAGCCCAATTTTTCAAGCTCTGTCTTCACCTGCTTTGGTACAAGCATGTGCCTGGTGGGGACAGGCTGAGGGGCCTGGGCTCGTTCAGCCCGCAGGAGGGAAGGCTTTGCAGGTTTTCAAGACAGGACTGGACAGAGCCTCCAGCAACCTGATGTGAATTCAGTGACAACCCTGCTGTGAGCAAGAGGTTGGATAAGACCTCCCGAGGTCCCTTCCATCCTGAGTGATTCTGTGATTCTAGGAATTAGTTTTGTCTGCCTGCCGTTTGTTTAATCAGAATGTAGAACACTGCGTGTGCCCACGACTTTATATATGCCTGGACTTTGCTACTTAACCTTTAAATTGCTAGAACAGGGGAATTAGTTTGAAATGTTGATGGGATGATAAATACAGTTGGATGTTTGTGTATTCATGGTTTATACAGAAATATTCTGTTGTTCTCTGTTATGAACCACACCTGCTATAGAAGCAGGGATGCTGCTGGTGTCATGTTGGGCTGATGGCATGAATGCATCTGCAGCCCCTCCGAGGGTTTGTTTCAACTCCCACTCAGCCAACTCTCGTCTGGATTTTGATACTGAAGCTGCCACAGCACTCTGCATTTTGTGCTGAGTGGAAAACTTCCCGGACAACTCGTACCATGTGCTTGGGGTGTCGTTACCTGTGACTGCCAGGTAGACGTCTTAGCTGCTGGTCATGCTGTATCCCAGCTGGGCGAGGGAGGGACTGCCACAGGGGCTGGCACTTGTCCCCTTTTGTGGAGAGTGAAGGGACTTGATCCTGGGCTTCCCAAGGCGAGCCAGCACCGCATGTCCCTTTGCCTTAAATGAGAGCACACAGTGACCTTGGGCTGGATTCCCTTTATAATTGGCAAGGGGTAAGTGCTGACTTTTTTTTGTTTGGTTTGGTTTGGTTTTTTGGTTTGTTTGGGTTTGGTTTTTTTTAAATTTTTTTTTTTATTTGCTCTTCACTAAACCTGCTTTTGATGAACTTGTGAATGCGCCATAGCAGAACTTTCACTTGGCTCTTTTGGGCAGAAGGCTGATGAAATTCTCCTATAAAAAAATTAAAAGGAGATTCCTGAACTCATTTGTTACACTGTTACACTGTGTGGGTTAATTGATTTGTTCCATGTTTACAATTATTTTTTGCTGCTGGGTGGCCATCGCTTTGACAGCAAATCAGTTTAAATATTTTGTATAACTTTCAGTCCAAGTAAAGGCAATAGGTTATTTTCCATTGAATTTAGTGAAGGTTGGATTGAGCCCCTGGAGGAAGACACTACACGTTCAGCTGGTTTTGTTTTCCTGTCTGGTTGTAAACTATTGTGGAAACTTGCAGCCAGCAAAGCCTGTGCAAAATGTTGGTAGGCATAGACACTTGGAGAGGGTGGAGCCGAGGCTGTCACTGGGACTTAAGATGCTTTAGACACGTGCAGCTGACTCTGTTTAGTAAAACCAAAGACCAGATTTTCTTTTCAGGATTTAGACAAGCACTAGACATGTTTGTTTCTGTGTGTCTGTTTGTCTGTCTTTCTCTCATCAATATTTTTATTACGGTCAAAATAATGCTGCACCAAGTTTTATAAAAAGCTTTTGAATGTATTTTTCCATTGTATTTGTAGGTAGTTTTCTTCTCTCTGTATATATATACACACATGTTTTTTAAGTGAAGAAATACCTCTTGTCCACATGTTCAGAAGAGACTGAGGCAGAAAAGACTACCCTGGGAAGAGAGTCAACGATGTCATTTCTTGCAGCATGTCCCCCACTCGAACGATGTCTTCCGTAGTGGATGTTGAGAAAACGAATGCATAAGAAGCTACAATGAATGAGGTCACAGATCATTTTGTATTTTGTAGAGTTCCCATGTACATTTGGTTGGTTTCATTTCTGGCATGTATGCAGTTGACTGAGATGAAGTTTTCCAGAAACGGAAGCAGAAGCTGATAATGATATAGGCTAAATGTTGCTTGAACTAGCACAAACTGTCTTGAACAGACAAATGTACTTTAGGCTTCAACTCAGCCCCAGTGAAGTTATGTTGTTGTAAAACAAGAGGATCAAGAAGCAATTCAGGTTCAAGTAGTTTCACAGTGCAGGAGATGGTGTGAGGATTGAATGGATAGTTACGATGATGATCAGATTATGCTTATTGTTCCATTTTTTCATTCAAGGTCAGTGAAAAACAGAGTTTGACATTGGGGCATGCTGTGGATATGTTAGTAATTGTCTGACTTATGTCCTGGATGTTCTTACCTGTTTTTGCCTTTCTGTTTTGTCAGCTTTGCTTTTACTGTATGGCACACCCTGAGCTGTGCTTTTTTCCCCTGTACTTCTGAAACAAGAGAACACGCCTGGGGTGGAAGAAGGGATGACAATTCTTCCTGACAGAGGACAGAGCTCAAAAATGCTTGAAAAATCACTGGGGTGGGGGGAGG